TCGGCAAACACGGAGTCGATGAGACCATTATATACTGGCTAAGTAACATGCTCCGTAACAGACTAATCAGACTACAAGACGACAACCATCTCAGAGCATTGGCGACTAAAGGATGCCCTCAAGGAGGAGTACTGTCGCCTCTGCTATGGAATCTAGTTGTAAACGACCTAATTACCAAACTAAACAACCTTCATTTCCACACGGTGGGCTACGCGGACGACCTGGCAATCATTCCGGGTAAGTTTGCGAGCACCGCCTGTGATGGTACGCGAGGGGCAATGAAGGTGGTTGAAAAATGGTGTGATGACTACGGCCTTAAGATGAATCCAGTGAAGACGGAATTGGTCATGTTCACGAACAAAAGATCCTTAGGCGACTATCGGCTACCGAAACTATTTAACACGACACTGAGGCTCTCCAATGGGGTAAAGTATCTAGGAATAACCCTAGACTCCAAACTGAACTGGGGATCCCACATAGACAAAACTACAACGAAGACCAACATCATTTTCTGGCAATGTCGCAAAATGATTAGCAAACTTGGGGACTATCACCGCTCATTGTTAAGTAGCTGTACACGACCATAATTAGGCCCATCATCAGCTATGCAGCAGTAGTATGGTGGACCAAGACAATCTAGGTAACGACAATTAATAAGTTAAGACGACTTCAGAGGTGGGCATGCTGTGCAATCACCGGCTGCATGAAAACCACTCCCATATCAACACTGGAGACAATACTTAACGTGAGACCACTCCACTTGTTTATACAACAGGAAGCTGCATGTACAGCCACGCGCCTAAGCATGCTGGTGCTATGGAGAGACAACAACTCCCCGCACACCAGCATCTTAGCAGACATACACAGGCACTTTCCGTACTTTGCAGCAGTAAACGACCTTATTCCTAAGACGTACGTATTTCACAAAAAATACAAAATTCAACTTTATGAATACACCTCGGACCGTTGTCTGCATAAGGAGTTGAGGGTCTACACAGACGGTTCAAAAACCAACTATGGTACAGGTTCGGGTGTCTTCTCCGAAGACCTGAATATACACATCTCGACAGCTTTGGGTGCCTATAACACGGTCTTCCAGGCAGAGTGTGTGGGCATCATCAGAGCTGCTGAGGCGATAGAATGTAGCGGGGTAAGAGGAAAACATATTCGTATTCTCTCTGACAGCGCTTCTGTCCTACAGGCACTGGACAACCATATAATGACATCAGGCTTAATTTATGAATGCCACAGTAAGTTGACTAATATTGTTAACGACAATAGATTGACCTTACAATGGATTAAAGGACACAGCGGCTCAAGGGGTAACGATGCGGCGGACTGCTTAGCCAGGGAGGGGTCTAGCAGGACGGCCATTGATCCGGAGCCAATTATACCCATACCCTATCGGCAGTTGCGAACTTGGATAAGGGAGCGCTCTTAACGACAACACGACGATTACTGGTCAAAACTCACGGACCGCAGGCAAGCTGGGGAAGCCGTTCCTAAGGTAAACCTGCAGCTAACACGTAAGTTAATCAAACTACCTAGGCAAGCCCTAAAACAAATCGTGGGTATACTCACGGGTCACGGCTACTTCAACAAACACCTTTGTAATATAGGTATTTCTGACAGCCCTCTGTGCAGAGCCTGCCTGGAGGCGGATGAGACGAGCGCCCATGTCCTACTGGAGTGCAGGGGCGTTGCAAGACAAAGGACTTCTCTAAGCCCGAAGACAGTAGTAGAGGCCAACATTCGGGGACTGCTGAGCTTTCTGGAGGAGCTGGGATGGCAGGACTGATGCCAATCCCCACGCAAAATAGGCACTGGGTGTCGAGTTGCAGAAACAGCTCGCCGTGCTACTAAGACTAAGACTAAAACTAACCGCATCCTCCGCTATCCGGCGGATGCAATGACCATTATGCTACTGCGGTCTTAATGAACGTGTCGAATTTCCTCTAGTATTTCTTAGGCTGCAAGGCAGCACCATTTCTTCGCGTTGAGGTAACCCTCAATGTCAATCGAATACCTTTACAAGTATTAAAAATTTGAAAGAAGAAATAGAAAATAGTTTTTGTTATAAGCATTTAACTGCCAGATATTTAAATCTTCGGAAGGAAATTCGACACGGCCATTAGGGCCGCGATGGTATAATGGTCAGTGCATCCGCCCGGATAGCGGAGGGTGTAGTTTCGAGTCTATTACCTGGTCCGCGTCGAATTTTTTCTAGAAACATTTTCTTTAGGTTCCTACGACACATATGACAAGACTGAGGTAGTGGGAGGTAGTATATTTTCACATGTAAAAAGAAATTGCACTTTGTTACTTTAAAAAAAATATTATAGTGCATAAAAACATTGGATATAATACCTATTATATTATTAATAGTACATTTAAAATATAAAAATTAAAAAGAGAGAATTTTTGTCCGGAAAGCAAAAAGTGCATAGATTCAACCCTGGTCGGAAGCAAGTTCGTTGAAAAGTTTTATTTTAAAATGTGTATGTTTGTGTGTGTGTGTGTCAGGCAACTCATGCACATACTTAAGGCAGATTACACTTAAGGAAACCCTAGCATTAAGGGCGAAATGCGTTTTAACTACCCAACCACAACATTTGGCTTAGCGATGAGCGAAGCGATTTGGTAGGGTGGGCTTAACGCTAGCCACGTCGCTGTGGGCTCCGTTTCATGACGTGCTTCTAACATTAAAGTTATTACACTAATCCTGTAGTATATTTTTTTCTCATCGCTCTCAGCGTCACACTATGCTGTCGCTCATTGCAGCAAGGCAGGACCTTACAGAGTCGTAAAAATGCTCATATCTAGCTCGTTTAGTGCCAAATGTATCCCAGCATTGAGATTATCACCCGTGTGTCATAGTCGCAGTCACAACACAACTCGCAGGTAATACGCGTTCTGACAATAGCGTCTGTGCAATATGCATGCATGTAATTTATTAAAAATATTAGTTGCTAATATCAATCACAATATAATGTTAAAAAAATAAATGTTTTATTTAGACAGAAAGGAAAGGAAAGGAAAAAAACTTTGTGATAAATATGAGGGTTATACTCCAAAAATCTCTAAAAATTGTTTGATCCAGTGTTAAACCAGCTTACACAAGCTTTTATTTCTAACAAACTGTTCACTTTGTCATAAGATACATTCATTTTCTACTTATCCCTAAATCTTTTCCTTTCGACGAACTATTTCTGTTTGACGAGAGGTTATTGCGTGGCTGCATCGACGTTGCAAAATCAATCCTTTTACTAGAACCCAGGGTAGGCAAATGAAATCCAAGGGTATGCCCAAGTAGCGGAGGGCTACTAGGGCATACCCTTGTAGCTCCCTCCGCCGCCCCCCCTTTGAAGGACAGAACTGCAGGTGGGGGGGCCGCCGTTCCCGGGGGAGCGGGAGGGGGAGCGTAGTTCTCACAGTCCCTCTTCCCTCATCGTCGATGCAGGGGCAAGCACCCCCTCTCCCGGTCGCCCACGTCTCCCCGCCCCTTCTCCTTGGAGAAGAGGGGCTTAGGAGGATCCTGGGCATATTGTGACATATTTATTACACTTATGAAAGGCTAAATATTGTGAAGGCTAAAAATATCGATATTACATTACATTTATTTTCTAGAAGTCGTGTAAAAAGTGTTTATTTAATATTTATTTGATTTGAGATATGATGAGCATAATGATTAATTTTAACAAACCTTCATATTCAAAAGATAATATTTAAACAATCCCGAACTAAGTAAATTGGTGACAAATAGAGAATAAGTGATTATCATGCAAATATTTACTGCCAGTGTTTAAGCAACGAACATTCGTAAACATAGCAGATCATTAATGTAGAGTAGATATTAATGTAATTTGGAAAGATGACAAGCGGGTTGTACCTGTTATTTAATTTCTACTTTGCAAACATTCATCTACTTACAGTTATGGCAAATTTTCATTTTTGCTATGGTTTATGGTTGGCAATTTAATTGTAAGAGCTCACGTACCGTTTTTTATTCCACCATAACAAAATATTCGAACAGATAAAGACGTACAGTAGGAGACATCCTAAAAATCCTTACATAATCACAAACGACACAGGGTATACTTTCTTTTAAAAAATCTGGCAAAATGATTAAAAAAAGTCTGGGAATCATAAGAAGAGAATTTGCTAATAAAACGGTTATAATTGATTTTTTTTCCGCGTATTTTACCAAATCACTACATAGAGGTCGTGTCAGTTCATACCAAGTACAAGTATCGCATAATGCTATTGCTTAAAAAGATAATATTAAGGAATTCATCTTCACACTTTGGAACTTAGTTGGACACTTAATTCGCACTTAACCTGTTGAGGTTTTCCCAAAGGAATACAGCATGAGTAACTCTAAATAGGCGTGAAGAAGTTTTTAAGTGGTCAGCAACACGCATATGATGGATATACGATGTATTGCAGGTGTTGATAGTTACCACGGTGATCACTTGAGTTCTATCGAAGAATAAAATTCGTACCTGTTTATTTTTCAGTCCAACGGACATTTAATATATGTATAATATCAATCTTGTTATTTACGCAAATGTATATTTTTGGCAATCATGTTTTATCCCTTCAGTCATTAAGCGAATTATTTATTTTAATTTAATAATAAATAAGACATTCAAATGATGGCAGAAATATAATTCCATTAAAATAGTCATTAATCACGCTTTCAGTAAAAGTGTTATGGGTTCGTAATTATTTTATTTTATAACAAAAAAGCAATTAAAATTGCCAATTCATTTAAAACGGGCAAGTGTTAAGGACTCATTCTATTTAATTTTTATTTGACGTGAATTTTAATATCACACTTTGTTTAATTTAAAACTTTAAAAGGTTTAGTAGGAGGTTTAGTAGGTATACTTAATTAATACTTATATCATGACAATGATTTTATTGATTTACACCGCAGCTTGGTCACTGATATTTTTAACTGAACATTTTAAATATTCGGTTAATTAATAGGTACTTACATGTTATCAATAGCAGACAAAGCAGGAACAAAAACATTTTCAAAATCTTCAAAAAGTTTCGCAACTTTAAAGAAACTAACTGAATATAGGATTCTTTATTACATGAAGTGTTTTATTCTTTGTTTCTTATAATCTGAAGAGGTTGATTTTATCGAAAACTTTTTAGAACTAGACAATTCGAAGTACACTTTGCATTGTATCGCCTCTCGAATGATAACGGATAACGAGCCTAGGGCACGTTTGCTCGGCCGTGAATCTCGCGCCAAACTGGACTACTTACTACAGGGAATATCTTCTGACAAGGACCTTTCACACCGAATATTAACTTATTCGGGCATTCATACTCGGAATGTTTCAGCGATTCCTTAATAACGCAGACGTCTTGTTTCATACACATCGAGCTATTGACACTGTATTGTATTAAGGATAATATTCAACGTGATCTTCGAAACGAAATGAGATCGTAGATTACAACGAATACAATATTGTGTATTATTGTTTTGTTTTTATTTAAATAGGTACTAGCGGTCACTATCGCTATCGCTTTTCCACTTTAGTTTTTTACGAATCTAACAGAAATCTTACATTTTTCGAGATAAAAAGAATCCTATGTCTCAATCTAGATAACCAACTACATATATGGATACCAAATTGCATCATTGCATTCAGTAGTTTTTGCATGATTGAGTAACAAACATACAAACTTTAGTAGGTAGTAGGATTGTTTGTTTTGATTCGTAATGTCACACATTTGGATAGAAATTATTATTGAGAGAGAATGTTATTTAAAAAAATACATAGGTATTGTGACTGTTTATGCATAGGATTTAGGGTAAATCTGTTACAGTTAAATATACATATATTTTTTTTGTATACGAAAAACCTTAGCTTAACATAATATAACTTGTACAGTTAATTTTAAGATAATTTTAAAATAAACGTCGATTTGAATTAATAACCTAGTAAATCATATTTATTCCGAAACATTAATACGGTATGTCCTACTCGCTCATAAGAACATTCTTCAACATATTGAAAGAAACCTAAAGAAAGAAACGGGACCCTTAAAAGATCACTTTGTTGTCCGTCTGTCTGTCTGTCAAGACCCTTCATCTCGGGAGCGCGTGGAGGTATCGAGTTGAAATTTAAACCATATACCTAAGTCTGCGGTCGCTTGAAGCTGTGATAAAATATCAAGTTTCCAAGTCAACATAAAAAAATAAGACCGTTTATGATGCGTACCTACAAAGGACATTGTTCTGCGTCCATACATTGTTAGCCTAAGAACCAACAATCATGAAATATTATTTTCTGGGTTCGAAATTGCAAGTACATGACTATAAAAACAAAGATTATTGACGGACACTTCTGAGAACTTAAATTATCAGAAAAACTTAATATTTTTTGAGGTTATGTTTAATATTCAAAGAAACATAGGTCAACATATGAACTTAGTATGAACTCAGTATAAATTGAATTAATATTACAAGTAATTCATTTTTATTCGACGTGATTTTAAAGAATAACTATTAGGAAAAACTTGGTAAGGTAGGAATCATGAATAAAATAAAAACTGTAGTTTTGCTTCTTATTTTGTTAACTATTTTTCAAATAATTGTATCATACTGTATTTTATTTGTATATCACATGTATATTATATAAATATGCAGCGTGAATGTGTATCAGCTGCTCTTGAATAAATTGGCAGTATGTATGATCCTCTCAGGATGTTGTGGCACAGGTTCTCTAGCACTTGGTAATAAGGAGTCTACTATTTGGTAACATCGATGGCATATTAAATAGCCGAAATAGTTAAATTAAAGAAAAAACAATCGCAAATAAACACACACAACAGGAAATCCGAAACGAGAAACCACGAATGCCACAGATTACTAACTTAAACTGCCTGCACCACAACCACAGAGTATCGAGTTTTATGCCGGCCCTTCACTTGAAAACAATCTGTTATTGGTAGTTTTCCAATTACAGCACTACAGCGCATTATGCGGCATAATGCCTGTCGTTGATTGTTTCAACTACAGCAACGCATCGCACAATCGAGTACTCTCAAAAGTAATGTTTTCGTGTGATGCGTGCTTTCGTACCAACTTAGTAATAGAAAATTAACAAGTGTTTTTTCTTTAAGTTGGTATTGATCGAAATGTTTTATTTATTAAATATCGTTAGTAATATTAATTAATATTGAAATTTTTTGAAAGTTTTCGTTTCACTGTGTTTTTTTTAAATAATCATAGTTAATTTAAACTGTGTTAAAAAATAAATATAAGTGTGGATGAAGGTACAAACATTGACTTTTTTTTCAACACTGAACTTAGCGCACTCTGCTGGTGCATTTGAAATCTAATTCACGTTCCAATTAACCATCAGCATAATTTGGCATTGTGCGCCACTGATTCGCATTATGCTCTGTAATTGGAAAACTACCCTTGTCATGCTTAATATGGAACAAAAAGGACAGACTGATGGTAAGTTTTTAAAAAGCAAACACGAATAGCCAAGTGAAGTGCAGGCATTAGGAAGAAAGAGTGTTTTGTTTGCAGCGCTGCCACAGATTATACACATAAAATGGTAGCCTCAGATTGTTTTTTAACTTTTTAATTTAGCTTACTTAACTGGAAGTGTCCGTCACAATGTAAATACTGATAATTATCGCAAAAAATAAACTAAGAATTATCATAAATGCCAAATTGGTGTTGGTTCTTAGGCCAAATTTAACATTGTCCTTTGTACGGGACCCTCGGTGGACGAGCCCGACTCGCCTTTGTCCGTTTTTTTTATTTTAAGCACGCTGGAAGATGTGGATTTTTAACTGTGGCAAAGATTTCGAGTTTGATTGAGGTAACGCATTATTTCATTAAAAACTTAGATGTATTTAACATACTCCCGTAAACTATGTTACAAAGGTGATCTGTTTAAATCCGTATCATCTTAGTGATCCATTTTTGGCTTGGTTAAACTAATATTTTTTAAAACTACGTAAGCGTTTCCATTGTTTTTTGTTTATAGTGGCAGCACTGACTATTCTTCAGCTCTAATCGATCTGTCAGATTTTCGTTCACGCGCTCGATTTGTGCAATTTTACGATCAATATTTTATTGACATTCGTGAAAACAACGTTTAGTTGGAAATGAGGACAGCACTACGCCGCCGCGCACGGATCCTACGCACCTCGCAAGCTCTCCGGACATAAACTATAAGTTTCTGCCTCCGTGAGACTGCCTGGCGCCACTCAGTGCCAGCGTCGACTGCACCGCTCCTAGCCGCAGGCCTTGAGCGCGCCGCAAGGCGCAGCTCGGCCAAGGATCGCGCAGGCATAGCCCCCATCGCGCAGCAATGGAGAAGTACCAATTACCGCCAATACCCAGCTTGGTCCAAACTAAGACCCTCTTCGCGGCCAAAATGAGCCACACGGGATCACCAAGAGTCCAATATAAATTGGACGCGGCGATGACTTGGCGGCTCTTCGACTCCTATTATCGCAGAGGTTAAAAGATTGGTTGTGGGTCTTCGTTCGCCTACTAGAAGCAGACGCAAGCTCCTGTATGGATTACGGCCCGACCAGAATATCATTGAGCCAACCCGATGCCACTCATGTGGAGATTCCCCTGCACCCTGGCAGGCACGCCGCCCCTGCTGCCCTAAAACAGCCACAACAAACGCAGACTGTTTTACCGACACAGTCGTACGCATAGGCCGCAGTAAAATCCGCGCCTACCCACAATGCCCACAATGCGGGCTTGACCGCACCGAGGGCGACGTGTGAAGAAGCGGAGGGGGTATGACCCAAACGACCACCTCGCTTTGAAGGCGAGGCGCGAAACCGAGACGTCCAAAGTGACTCACGCCAGACAGGATTCCCCGCACGCCACGGCGGCTTCGGCACCGGCGACGCGCCGAATTAAGAACAATTGATTAGTCGGAAATGTAAGCATTTATAATTTCCAATAACCTCCGGTTATGTAAGCCGCTTTCGCGGCCTCCCGCCGCGATTATTTATGTTCATTTCACTATTATTTTGTAATAATAGACTATATGAATAATATATTTATAGATACTCCATAAAATTTCATAAACGACAGTTTATATACAAATTGCTTGATTTGTAATACCTAGTTTGTAAACATGAAGTGTTTAGATTTTGTTATTATTAAAAAATCATTCCGTTTTAACGCAACAGTTTTATGTTAATGATCTAATTTAAATTATACACTAATGAATAAAAACCATAAAACAATATTGTGTTGGTATTTCATTTTGTTGTATGACGACGCAAATCGGAGCGGACATACTCACAATTTTACCTAAAAACAGCATTAATTATCGGGTCGAGTTACATAATTAATATGTTTATGTTTAGATATTTTTTGATGACATAACATTTTAAGATAGTTTACATTATAATTTTATAGCATTTCAACAAAAAACAAACGTGTCCCATAAAATCACCCACTATAATAAGCTGATAATATGAAAAACATTTCGATGTCAGAAAACATTAATTATTTATTTGAAACTTTTCTTTAGATTTAAACATCTAGCAGTTAAATGCTTAAAAAATAAAAACATAATTATATAATTATTACCAATTATTTTTCATTTATTTTTTTGTAGATTGTCGGTAAATGAAATTATATCGTATCTAGAAGAAAATGCTTAAGTGTTATCTGCAGATATTTACATAACACCTCCGGGTAATAGGGATGATGTCATTTTTTTATCTTAGTCTATCAGGTAGATTATCAAAAAGTATTGGGCATGTATTTTTCTTTTTGCACATAATGAATGATTACAGAGATAAATAATAAATAAATAATAAATATTTCTAACACTCACACCAATTAGCCTAGGCCCAAAGTAAGCACTGTAAGGCTTGTGTTATGGGATACTAGGGTAACGGATAGAATACATATACTGTGCATATATTAGTATATTTATATAGAAATACATATTAAACATCCATGACTGGAGTACAAATGCTCGCATTCATCACACAAACGTCTGCCCCCACCGGGATTCGAACCCGAGAGAGATATATAAGGATTTGAATTGTCGAGTGACGTAACGTCAAAAATTGTACAATTTGGTACATTTTTTACTTAGTAGTGACGTCACGAGCACCCACTCCCAAACTTTGACGCATTTTATCTTTGTAATATTTGGTTGAATAACGAAGAAATAATCTGTGGACATATTTTTTTAATAATCTAACGGACTAAATAAAATTTCGTTAAATATACCCCGTCATCGCCACTATTACGACAAGAGCGATGAAGATAACGGAG